TCGACGCAACGTATACAAACAGCCAGCTCGCTGCGCCGATTGAGGTGACTTGCAGCTATCTCTACAACCCACAGACAAAGACCGAGACCGCGTCATGCTCTGACCCAAGCTTCACCTATGATTTCGGTGGCGTCCGTAAGTCACAACCTCAAGTTGCATTGCTTGTAGATGGCGGAAAGAATCTTTTGCTGAAAAGTGTGTTCCTAGGCATGGCCAACACCATCTCGACTGTGACTTTGACACAGACTGTTGAGCTGGATGGAAGCCCAGTCACCGTGACTGGCGCGCAAGAATTTGACTGGGATTTCAGCAGTGGTTCAGGGCGTTCAGGGATTGCCAAAGGACCCATTGCGGCTCAGACTGCTACCGCTTGAGGCTTATAGCAAGCGCAATGCGCATGTCGAAACAATGGAGACGTGAAGGGGAGACAAGCCTGAAAGTCCATGTACATATCATAAGCGACCTGGATATCTAATTGATCAACTAGGGCTATGACACGACCCATAGATTTCAATTCATCGTGTCTATTTATGACGGGATATTCATTGGTCCAATTTCAACTCTGTCAAGTCATGGTAGAATGTCATCATCTGATCTCTAGATCTACAGTCATGTGCCTCGTGGTTAAGTTAGAGCCTCACTGGTCCCGACGAAAAGAAGGTAAGACTTTCTGATGATTTCTCTTCGCACTATCGCTGGGCCCTGAGTTTTTTGAACGTATGTCTGGTTGTGATTCTCTCGAAGATACTTCGGCGCCCATGCGCTTATGTTGGAGGAGTAAGAAAACATCCAATTATATAAACACGAAACGAGAGATCTCGTGCACCACGCTTCCACCCTCCTTGGGCTTCTGAAGTTCTTGGTTGTGCAGAACCGATAGAATTCTAAGCGCTCTGATATTTCACCGGGTTTGTTGTAATTTGTGTTTTGTCTCAATAGAATAACCAAAGAGAGAGAGCTTCGGGCGGTTGACTTCGCTCATAGAAGCCATTAAGCCCCAGGCAACTTGAAGAGTCAGAACATACCTGCCAGGACCGATCTGAGAGCACCTTCGTCCAGTTCAATTATGTTGTCCGCCTCGTACTAGTATCCTCCATCCACATTGAAGATTTTAGCCAGAAAACATGTAACCTAATTTCTCCTAACCCAAATAAACCACGAACACAAGGCCCTGATATATGCGCAGTACGATCTATGTCTCGCTCTGTGTATAGCTCACCAGAAGAGTCAGAAATCTTTCCAGAAATGCCGAGCCATCGTTTGTGACAAATGGGAGCCCAGTTTGTACATTCAAGTTGAGGGTATTGTTTACATCCTTTGTCGGACAACACCACTTTAGCCATCCCTTTCAGATGGACGCCGCCGACTAGGTGACCGTTTCTTCCGGTCTTTCTTCTCCCCCTTGTCATCTCTTCCAGAAAAGTAAATCAAGACTTTGTTCTTGACCCTGTTGCTCTGACGTCCGCGTCGACCAGCGGCCTGAACGCGTCTCGCCTGAGGCAGCTCAGTCGTTTCAGTCACAATTTCCCTTGTTGCAGGAACAGGGTAACGGCGATAATTTGAGGCTTCGCCCTGATTGTGATAGTATCCATTATCAAGATAGGTTGCTGCATGTTGGTGTGAAGCTGTTGACGAATATATAGGTGGGGGGACACGAGTATAAGTCATATAAGATTGGGAAACAGGAGCTTTGTCGGCTTTTTGTCAGCAGGGACTCCGATTTATTTCGTTAGTAGTAAAACATACCCGTATGAGCGGGGCCTGGGACACTCAAACTAGGTCTTCTGCTTGCTGGTCTACCCTCAAGAAAGCTCTTGAGTTTGCTATGGTCTCTAGACTTGATAGGGTTGGCAGTGTGACCCAATGTGCTCGATGCTCGTGGCGGTACAGGTCCTGGATTGACATTGATGACCTCAGGTAATTGAGCCTTTGGATCAGGGCTTGGAGGAGTACTCTTCGAGTCCTCCGCTGGAGCCACGGGATTGTGATCATTGACCTTCTGAGTTGGATCAGACTCCGACGCTAGCTCATTCACTAAGTCTGGTTGGTGTTGTTCGTCAATGCCAATAGTTCCAGGCGATGGAACTCTCGAATGTGTTCGGGAAGGAGGGCTCTTGACCCCTGGTGTGGATTTGACAGGAGAGTCCGCTTGAGTGTGTGTCTCATGTGCATCCTTGGACTTCACTTCGGGCTTAATCGGATCCTCGAGTGGTGCCTTAGGGCGAATTTTGTCTTGGTTCTCGGGAATCGAGGACCTTTTCCTGCCCTTCACAGAGCTTTGCTTCTCATGTTCCAGTGAATTTGATGGCGAGCTACGCTCGGTTGCTCCTTCGGGAACTGGTTCTTCGATGATTTGCTGAAACTCAACCTGCTTCTTCTTCTTCTTTAGATTTCCGGTGAAAGGCCCCGGCAGCACAGGTATCGGCGGCTCTTGAAACGACGATGTTGCTCGAGGTATCTTGTTGACGGATGAAACCATTCCCGGGCGTCCTTGAACAGAAGATCCAGACGCATGCCTGTTTATTCTCGATTCTGGGATGTTATTCTTCGCGGCGTTTGCGGTGTTGGAATCATAAGCTGGGTCTTGAATGTTACCGCTGTGCCTGGGTTTGGAAGTTGTGCCTGCACTAGGATTCCCAACTGGGAGTGCCGCCGTCATCCCCGTATTCACGGGTCCTGATCGAGGTACATGAGGTGATCTCATCTTATGGGAAAGCATCGATAGAGGCTGTGATTGAGTTGAGGAGGCCTTGTGTCTAGTAGAGAACGGTGACGTCCATGATTCGGGGTTCTCTTTCGAGCGTTTCTGGCCGTTCGTCGTGTGATCCAAGTCGGGAGAGTCATTTGTAGATACTGGGGTCTTTGAAAACCGGTCCGGAAATTCTTTGCCCAACGATGTGGGTACTTGCTTGTAGTTACCTGATGCTGGATCCTCTGTGAAATTTGTTGGACCTGTGGGTGGAAAGGTGTATTTCGGAGCAGATCTTGGCGGCCCACGATCAGTAGAAGGCGGGGGCATCGGAGGTCCGAAGTCGCGAGAAGGCGGCTTGTGTGCACTGTTCACAGATTCTCCTGTTGTAGACGATGAAGATGTTGACTTGTGGTATTTGGATGCTCGCCGACCTCCAGGTCCGGCTGATGATCGGGGAGACCATGGAGGTGGCCGAAATGGCGGTGATGACATAGGCGAATTGCCCTTTCCTTGTGACTTGACAAACGACTTCTTCTGCCGCCGTCTTCTAAGAACACAACACCCGAGAATCAAGAGAGTAAATATCGTTGCACATGTGGCCCCGATAATGGCCCCAAGTTGTTGGTCGCTGACGCCATTGGACGAGTGAGGAGGTGGTGATGTTGGAACATCGCCGTGAAGCGTTACGGTTGCAGTTCGGGTGCTCAGAGTTCGAGGAAGTGTCTGTGTGATGGTAATACGAGTGGTATCATCGCGTCCAGCGAGCAGAACCTTGGATCTGATATGTGTGGTAGATGTAGGACCTGGACTTTGTTCAGTTGTCTTTGGCCCGGCGGCAGTGTTTGATGATCGAACAAGCATTCTAGGCTGAAGCCAAGAACGGTCAAGCCGTCATTAAGCTCAAGAACCATGAGAGGCTCTCCAAGCTCTCTGACTGCCTACCTTCCTTGAACTGCTCTATTCGCCCGCGAAACTCTCATGATGATTTATTCGTACAGTTCGTGCAGATATAATGAAATCGAAGATGAGGTTGGGAGATTCGAAAGCATCCTTGTCGCGCACATGGGCCTTCATCCTAGCAAAGCTAACTGTCAGCCCTCTAATGACTTCTACGCGGCAACTCGGCATATCGGGGAAGCCGATGATAAGGCTTTGCATAACACGCAGTCTTTGAGCGGAGGCTGGGAGGTACTCAGCAACAGATCAACGGTAGCGGCCCTGAGGCTGCACACTGTGCTTCAAAACGCTCACAGAAAGCGATGCGATGCAGAGGCCAGCCCCTCACGCAGCTCGTTCAGTCTTCCGAATCCACATCCCATCTTGGCCATGTCACTGGTGATTGACGTTGGGCAGGCGACCAATAGTGCATGTTGAAGATGTCGGTTGCTTGGTGCTTCCAGCGGTGGCTGCATCGGTTTCTTCCAGAATAGGTTTGGTCGAGAAGATGACTGCATTAGCGAGCAGGATTAGCAATGGCAACATATGGTGCTCAGCCTGATTTTGCATATTCGCTATCTAGACTTGACATCAGTCTTTCTGTCAATGCGCTGCAAGTGTAATGCGGAGTTTGTCCATTACAAATTTTGGAAGGTGGCTGACGGTTGCGGAGGTGAAGGAATTTCAATAAATAAAACCACACGAGAGCATGTCTGTTACAACACCGGCACATGTGTGAAAGGAATATTATGATGTGCCAGGAGGACAGAGACTTTACGAAGACCCATGCAAGTCCTTTGCTTTTGTGGATACATGAGTTACAGACCCCGCACAGGGATTACGGAGTAACGATACCTCATGTAGGCACACGCCCAACTGAAGTAAGGCGAGAATCATGGCTTCAACTGCTGAGAAGACTTGACAAGAATCGAATTGGGACCTTCGTGCTGCGTTCGGCAGTTGAAGCAGTTATAGTATATTCCTGCTTGTGACTTATGCTAGAGATCTTCTAGATGTTTCTAAATCTTTCGGGACCAGTGCTGAAACTGTGACCCTCTTTGCTAACAACTTGCCAGATGCATGTCAGCTCGCCTCCGGCGGCAATAAATACCTCTAACAAGGGTTGTTGAAGGGGCTGTGGTTGGTGAGCTGGAACACCCCGCCTCCAGCCTCTGGCCAAGGTGATTCGTTCGACACAATCCCTTCAAATGATCGCAGCCACGTACTGTGTTGCCAAATACGCTGCAATTTAGCCCGAATTCTGTTACTCATCGTCGTTTACCTTATATCAAGACATTAGTACAGCTCGCATCAGTCGCAGCCTGATGGTTCGAGGGACCTGAGAGCTACCGTTATCGTGTCGTCTGTCTCGATGCTGCCGGCAATTCCGGGCAACAGGTTGACCCGAGCGGGGAACGGCGATGGTCAAAGGTCTCTGCACGAAACAAACCATGTCTATCACAATCGATCTTCGAGCTTCAACCAGTCCAGACCAGGAGTCAGCAGCTCAGCCGCCGGGTCAGAAGTCCGCAGTGAAACAGACTTGTCTATCGGGAAAGATCAGATGCCGAGAGGACGAAGTGCCGAGCCTACGTTGAGACCTTCCATCGGTCATCCCACCCGCCCATTGACCAGACTGCCAGACGAGACAACAGAGTTTCAACCACTTGGAAGAATCAGAAGAGAGGAATCCAACATCCCGATTTCAGGAGACTTAGCTGCACATCAGAAACCGGGGCTTCCCCAACACAAGTCTGTTCAAAATGTTCCGAAACATTCGAGTATCGAAAACCGCACAAACCTTAGCCTCCAGGACTTCAGTAGAGCGATCAGAGAAGCTGCGAAGTTGAAAAACGACCCACACAAAGTCGAAGAAGCTGCCAAACTAATTCTAGACGCGATGTTGTGGGACAACATCCAGAAACTCCCGCGCGACAACATGGAGATAGTCGTCGCGCGGCATCATCTGGGAGAGTGCTATTTCCACATGGGGAAGTATAGCGAGGCTGAGAAGCTTTACCGTGAAGTTCTCAAGGCCCGCAACTCCCAGAAGCCTCCCGACCCTCTGAAAATCTTAGAGGTTCGAAAGGATTTGGTGGCCACACTCATCGAGTTTGCCAGACTAGAGGATGGAGGGGATATTGCGAAAGCCGAGAAGCTCAACTCTGAGGCACTGGCGCTAGCTGTTGACAACATGAACGACAAGAAAAACAGTGATCAGGACGACGACATCGATAATGTCCTTCATTGTACTGAGGTTCTTCTGGAAAACCGAAATCGAAAGCCTATGGAGCTTGCTAGGCTGAAAAGGACTCGTGTCCGTGCGTTAGTCAAGATCGGAGACGACATGAGCGATGACGAACTGATCGACATTAAATACCATGGAATCGAGGCGTTCAAATTGTTCACCGTGGATCTAAAGGATAGAAAACGCGGATACGAAGTATACCACATCATTGAGTCGCGCATATGGAAATATGGTGCCCATGACTCCGGTCAATTCAGAAGGGCAACAAGTATAGAGGAAGAAGTCAAGGATGAGTGGAGAAAGGCAACGGGAATGCTTGCGAGCAAGAGATGGAAGAAGTGTTTGAAGAAAATACGCGCCGACGTGATAAGGAATGTCATACCTCGGAAGAAGGAGATGCGTGAAGCTTGGTATCTCATTTGCCGAAGAGTACTGGCCAGACAGAGATGGCAGAGAGCTTCGGCAGAAGCCATAAGAGAAGCAAAACTAAGAATTGCTCACCGCAGGAGGCTGGCTAGTCAATGGAGATTGGTGGTCCACCAGGTTATAGAGAGGAAGAAGGAAGAAGATCAGAAGAAAAAGAGACAAGAAGAAAGCGAGGAAAAGAGGAAGCGGGGCGAAGAGAGAAGGAAGAGAGACAAGGAGCAGAAGCGACTCAGAGAAGAGGAGGAGGAAGAAAAGGAAAGGGCCGAGGAAACTCGACTTAAGAAATCACATGAAGAGAGGGAACAGAAGAGAATTGAGAAAGACCTGATGGACAAGCGAAAGCTGGAGGATCAGGCAGCGGTAAGGGCCATGGTATTGGAGGAAGAAGCGGCTCAGACAGCACGAGCGCAGAGATCTGAGGATCCCGAAATTAAGCAAGGAATCAGAAAAACAGATACTGGGATCTCGGAATGGTCAGAGCCTGGTGAGTATTCAGTGGTTTTAGTGGCGTTCGAATGGTTCACCTACCTTGACCGAGGCTAATATTGGCAGAAACACCATTACATTTCAACTCAGAACAAGCCTTCTTCGACGCAGAGACTGAACTCAGCAGCATACAGTAAGTCCCACTCACGTTAGCTAGATGACTACTACTGCGCCGCGATTAACAATGACTTGCAGAAACAGCGAAAAGTGGATGAGAGATTTCATCAGGTCTCGCGATATGATCCTTAGTACTCGACAGGAAAAGAACATGGAGCGTGTCAGGGTAACCATTGTTGATACAGGTCTCGATACGACCCACCCATTTGTCGCGAAGCGGCAGTGGCCAGACTACAGGCAAGCAGCGAACAAGAAGGTGGCTCTTTTCCAGGACTTCGTGACAGAAACCCCTAGCGTGGAAGCGATCGATGAGGACGGACATGGAACTTTCATTGCTGGCATTATGCTCCAGCTCGCACCACTCGTTGAGCTTTCTATAGCTCGTGTGGCCACAACACGGGCCTCCTTTTTGAAAGATCCCAACGCCGAGGAAAAAGTCACGAAAGTATGTGAACTAGACCACACAATCATTGCCCTTCCTTTTACAACCCAACATATTACGGGGGGCAAAAGCTAACAAACACGATTTATGATTAGGCAATCAACCACGCCGTCGAGGAATGGGAAACAGACATTATTTCAATGTCTCTTGGGTTCCCACGCATCAAAACGCTGGAATTTCGAAACGTCATTGGCAAGGCCACTTGGAAGAATAAAATTCTTTGTGCGGCCGCAGGCAACTCAGGAAACATTAACGCCCACGTCTCCTTTCCTGCTCGACTCGCTGGTGTTTTCAAGATCTTTGCGGCCGACCATATGGGCGGCAAGTGCTCCTTCAGCCCAAGGCCTGGCCTGGACAGTGAGATGTGCTTCAGCATTCTCGGCCACGATGTCGTGTCGATCTGGCCGGAAGCTCTGCGAGACAAAATTATGGAGTCGGGTAAGAAGGTGATAGAGAAGAAGAACTCAAAGAAGTATCCAGGGCTGTGGGTTGCCATGTCGGGAACCTCCTTCGCGACACCGATAGTTGCGTCTGTCGTTGCCATACTATACCAGTTCTACGACGCAAACAAAGCCGAGATCGACCTCGGACCGGCTTTGGAATTCAAGACGGTCGAAGCCATCAGAATCATACTATTGAGGATGTGCATGGCGCCCGCTGCGGACCAGCACAACTACCTCAACCCTTGGGTGGGCCGGGACAACTACTTCAATTTCAGCGGGGAAGAGAGGAACTCTGTTTCCTTTTTTGCACTGATGCTACGGCTTTGTTTGCGAGCTTGGAACACATAGTTTTCAGTTTGCTCTTAGATCGAAAGAAACGCCCATGCAATCGTTTCGAACATGATAGTCTTCTCTCAATTAATCTGCAACTATGACAAGGCAGTCCTCACCATCAACTTCATCAAAGCTGGCATTCTTGGCATCCCGAGCAGGCAATGACCGCCCAAAATCCTCGTTCTCAACTAAGACTGTATCAAGTTCATCGACATCAGCAATAACCTCGTCGGGTGTCTCGTCGTCGCTCTCTTCTTCGGAGCTTGTATCATCGCTGACTCCTCCAACACCATGTCCATGTAGCTCACCCCCAGATATCACGCTCCCTACCAAGGACTTGTTGTTGCTGAAGTTGACGTGAATCTTTCGCAGTCTGTAAGCGAATACGAAATCCTCCTCCGGCATGCTGCTCTCGACATCACTCTTGAAACGGGTCACGCCGCCCTGTACGCCGGGCATGGCCAGTCCCCCAGTCCCAGGGTCTGCGCCAAGTTTCGCATCGATTCCCGCCGTCTTCCTCACTTCGTATGAAACCTGGCCAGGTCTTCTAGCAATCTTGATCCCCGTGATCATATACAACACTTTCTTGCTGACGGCCAGTTTCTTTAAGAACCCTTCGCGCGTGAGACGCTTCTGGACCACCGCCTCTTGCACACTAGCGGTCACGTAGTCAGATTCCTTATCAGCTCCCAGTCCGAGAGAAGTTGTCTCGAGCTGGGCCGCTCTCCAAGAGCGCGTGGTCTCATTCGAGTCATGGATCGAGGTTTCCGCCGTGATCAAAGAGACAAACTGTGCAAAGACACCATTATGCCTGGCTGCTCCTTTGGATTTGGTCAAGGACCAGTTGCTTTCGTGGCTGACACGGACGGCATTGGTAGGGAAAGGCCTCATGGGAGGCGCTAAGGGTTCGTAAGGAGCGCGAGGGTCCTCGATGAGCTGGCCAAGTTGTATAAGGTCGTCGGGCTGATATTCGGTGCTGCGTAGAATGAAATACGTCTTGCGCTGAGATTTCTTATTGTTCATCATCATCGTAATCTTGGCGGGGCTTCGGATGTAAGACAATACAAAAAGAGAGGAGATCAAGCCGGGCGCCTCTTTGATGACTTATTGTAAGATAAGTGTCACTGTATGTGGTTTTGAGTCTTCACTGTGTCTATGGTAGATGTGGACAAGGAACCCATTCGGGTGCGTCGAGAGCTGCAAGTCAGACTGTGTGGGTGTAGAATATCCCTCATCCTCCACTCTGCATATCAAGTGGTAAGCTGCATCGCGGCGATTGGTTCTTTTTCAACCTTGGAGGTGACTCCAATGAATTGGCAGCACCCATGTCGTGTGAGATCCGAACTCTCGAGAGTAAAACGCTGCAAGTCTCGCCGCAACAATGGGACACAGTCACTATTCCGGACTGGGAAAATTACTGTGGCTTGCCTCACTTTTCAGGGTAGCTGAATCTAGTGTAACATATTTCTGAGTTGATCTTTAAGCACGATCCTGCGGGAAAGAGATCGTTCATTGGCCACACTGTTACTGCACTACAGGTTGATTTGGCATTACGTTTGTCTCCCTCGTCCTATTATGTACTGCTCGGGAGTCTGGGTTTATCTGGAGCAGCCGAGTGATCTTTGCAGGCCCGGCAGATCACGCTAAGGAATAAAGACCACACTAATCCCCATTCATTATCCCACTGCTGACCATACTGAAGATCCGTCACTCCATCTGTCCAACGACCAGTCTCAGCTTTTGACAATTTGCGCTACCTGTTTTTTTAGATCGCCTCAGAAGTCCAGCCACGCGGCCAAGGCGAATGAGTCCATTACTCCGCGCTCGTCGACGTGTGGTCTCTTGGCGTCGTCGCGGACGACCTGATTTGTGGTCTTCTACGATCCAGAGATGAGGACGAACGGGATCGACAGTGATATTTGACTTATCAGAATTCATGAAAGATTCGAAAATGACTGCAAGAAACATCCAGACAGAATCGAATGTTTCATTCCATGGGCTATGTTGGTGATCATGTCACCGAAAGTGTTGTGTTCGGCCCTGAATGCTATTGAAAGCTTAATCGATTAAAGGCGTAGTGATTCATCTCATCAAGGTTCAGTTGGTGACGGTAGGTATATCTTGAAGACTTAGTCACGCCTATGAATGGCTTTCATTGTCTTATTACAACGTTCACAATCACGTTCAATCGTGTTCCGCGACCATGCCCCCAAAAAGCTCACACCTGGACGGTGTAGACAAATTTGCATCATGACTCGGCTTCATTAGATTGATCGTGAGTGATGTACTCTAGTAAGTTGATCACTCCAGGTTCACCATCCCTCATCTTGCCGCGGCACTTTCTCATAGATTAACTATCTTCTCCCCCGAAATTGTTTCCCCCATGACTGAAGCCGTTCAAACGGTTCTCATTAAGTTCAGCGTGCCTTGGAATTCAACACAGCTGCTAGCTTTCACATAACTCCAAATCCCTCAGTGCTAGTCGGCCAAGTTTTCATCGAGACTTCGGGGGTTCAAGGGTCTCTCCAGGCTTGGTAGCCGAGATGGCGACGAACCTCCAGCGACCCTTGCCCCGGTAACTCTCCACACCAGCGACGGTGTTGATGAAGTAGCGCTCGAGGCCAAAGGTCTTGATGAAGATGTAAGGGATAATTCCAAGGAGGAAGAACAGACGGCACAGCGGGCGGATGTTCTCGGAGAAGTCGCGAACCTCGACGTTCACGAAGCCCGCTTCCTCCATGAGCTGCTTGAAAACGCCCGGATGTGACCGGTTGTTTGTCGGCATGGCGGCATACTCATTGATTTTGCGCATGTTGTCGGCCATGACTTCTGGAGAGTCTCCGATGAACTCGTGGTCGTACTCAAAGTTGGCAAGATGGCCGCCGGGCTTAAGCAGTCGGAAGAAGCCTGCCAGGACGGTCTCCGGGTCCGTGGCGTGAACAAGAGTCTCCATGGTGTATATGCCATCAAATGACTCGCTTTCCAGCGACTCTAAGTGGTGGTAATCTCTCCTGTTGACAGTCACCTGGTTCTCAAGACCAGCTTTCTTGATGGTCTTCCTCGCCCTCTCTACATGGCGCTGGATGACATCGAATGCCTCGATTCGGAGGCCATGCTTGCTGGCGAGGTGTTTTGCAACATGACCATTCCCACAGCCAGCATCCAGCACCGTTGATCCTTTGGGCAAGTTCAGGACCTCAGCCATTTTGTCCTCCATGGTCCGTAGGCCGCGACTGAGGGGGAAGGGGAAGTAGGTGTCATTGTCCCAATAGCCGAAGTGCCGTGTTCCTCCCAGAACCAGGCGATAGCCGATACGGGACTCGAGCGACGCGTAGTAGGATTGCAGCACCGGGTTAGAGTTGATGAGAGGCTCCATCTCTGTGGTTGCGGTGGAGGGGGCCATTACGGGTCCGATGCGACTTCGAACTGACGGGAAGATCGATCGCGGGGGCGGATCTGACGTCTTCTACAACTTTGTATGCCGTAGGCTTGAATTGATTCTCAGGGCAAGACGGATGTTTTCAGATAAAAAATTGAAGCCGCCAGAAACAAGAAGGAGAAAGAGATTCAGGATGCAGCCTGATGGCGGAAAGGGGACACACAACGAGTGAGAATGGATGGGCTGGACGACGGGCGGCTGTCCACGCCATGCCGTCGTATCCGCCCCGTCGCTGATTCGCTCGTTTAGAGACGTGCTTTGCTTACCTACGCGGGTAGGGGGGGTTTTCCAACAGTGTTCAATTTCTTTGTCGTACTTGCAAACTCTGTTGGGACTACATCCTTATATAAGCAGTGTGCTTCCGCTATGTACAGATTCCCGAATGTCAATTTTGCTGGATACTTTCCAAGTCTTCCTGTGTTTTGCCCAAAATACTGTTCTGAATCCTTGGTGTTCTAGCGTTTAAAGTGGTTATGTTTATTCAAAATGAGACCACACTGGAGAAAGAAACATAGATGAAGGTACGTAAGAAATGCTCACCAGGTCTTCAAAACCCTGGCCTGTAAAGTGCAATTCTCGGTAGGTAATTATACAGCTTAAGGCACCGTACACGCATACTGAATGGACAATGTTGAAACTAACCCCTCCCCACCCCTTCTCTCGTAGGTAAGTAAGTAGGGTCTAGGCTTTCCTTCGTTACCTACTAGTAATAGTAACCTATACTATCTTTGCGTTGCTAAGTCCCGACCCATATGCAGGCCTTTACGGGCCGGATTAGTAGTCACGCCGGAGACCACCAGTGAATACCTGGTGCTGTATTGGGGTTTTCTTCTTTGAATTCAGAAGGATATTCCAGATCTCTTGTTTTACTATGTCACGATTTCCACGTCGGAGATGACTCGGAACATGCCAGACTTATAGGAGGCTCCTGTTCAATGGTTTTCAACTCTCTAAACGTAATGAGAGTAACCAGGGCAAGATACATCCGTGCCGAAATGCTTCCTCGTCAAGGACTATGCATACTTCCAGCTAGAATCCCAGTTGAGGCCAGAAAGCTGCACTCTTTCCCAATGCTTCGCCGCTTTCATCATACTCAACTGTTTGCATCATTGGCACGATGTTCTTTTGCCCCAAAATGGCTCAAGGTCAACAGGGGTGTGTTTAGACGAGAGGCCATTTGAGAGGCAAACTAGCTCGACCGTACAACTATCAAGTGCATCAGGCAAAAGAAAAAAAAAACCTCTCTTTTCCGTCTTCAGCAGAATCATCGTGACTCTACAAGTTGTTTAAAACTTTTTAGCACTGACTTCATTCGGGACATCAAAATTGTCATCGGCTTCCTTTATTCAAGATTGTATGGGGTCGGACTCTTTGATACATGTGACCATTGCAATCGTTTAATAATGCCTGCGAAGCCCTAAGACTTGGTTCCAATCTAAATACGGCGCTCGGCCCAGCTCTGTATGAGACCTTCAGCTGTGGGCTCGTATTCTCTCAAAGTAACCTCATTCCCTTCCAGAGACGTATTGGCATGAACAAACACAAGTGGCGGTGGCTTACTAGCCACCATAACCTTCCGCCATTCCAGATGCTTCGGAGTCAATGTCGAAAGCATCTCGTAGTAAACTCGACATGCCTGTATATCTGCTGTGCAACGGTACATGTGCAAATGTAAGAGCATCCTCCCAAGTGCTGGCTTTCCATGAGTGGAAATCTTTGCTCTGTCAACTCTGACTGTCAAAGTTTCAGCAGTCTTGTCATGTTCAATTTCCACACAGTCCCCGCCGTCCTTAAGTAGCCAGTTCAGAATTGCGAAGTGTGCCTGTCAATTGTCAGTATGTGGTCTCCGCATTGAATACCTGCGTCTTGTGCTTACACGACTATGGGCTTGACCCCAGCGCTATGAGCAGATGTCAGCGAATATTCCAATTTGATAGATATGTTCTTCCAACCGTACCTTGCTATCGACATTGTAGTTGGCAAGACCACGCAGGCCATCCACACCCAGTTGCTGGTACATGTTGTACGCGACTATACCGTGCACGTCAGCCTTCTGAATGGTGCCAAACATTGCCAATGGCTTCTCACTATCGTCAGCTGTCACGTCTGTGGCATCTGTAAATCCAAGAACTTTCAGAAGATCTTTGTCATCCATCAGGTACGCCCCAACTAGCTCTGCTCTGCACTCATCAACTGTTGTGGCGAGATCTCCAAATTGACCGGTCCAAGTCTGTCCAGGCTTATACCAGGATTTGATTGGGTTATCATCGAGAGGATTAATGGGCGGGTTCTGAATGTCGAAGTTATAGTCCCCTTCTGTCGTTTCAACCATCATCCGGCCTGTGCCATGTCCAAGAAGCTCGTGCAGAACGACCCACCAATAGTAGGTCGGGAACTTAGCTTTGCGGAATGCGGCTGCTTCGGAGTCTTCGATGAATGGGTAATCCTGTGCCTTACTCTCCGCAACCATGCGATTGGCAATGATGACATTCTTGAATCCCGTCTCTTGTCTGATATCGTTGTACTATCAATAAGTTAGCTTGTGCCGATGGGTCACCGAGCTGGAAGCTGGAAAAGAGTACGTTGGGTAGGTTGATTCCCGGAAATATGATACTGGAGCAATATGCCAGCGCTTTGGAATGTCAGTAAGTTGATGTTCCCTTAATTTCCGTAGGAACTTACTGTGTATGCTTGAGAGATCAGGTGGGTCAAACAAAGACTTCTCAAACACCCCTTTTCCGTCGTTTTCGGGACTGGTCCAAGGTAACTTGCGGATGAATTGAGTTGAATTCTCGACCAATCTTGTCAATTTCATTGTTTCTGCGGCGTCTGCAATCGCAACAAGACCCTCAAACTCAGCTCGTATTCCATGTGGATCTCTGTACGGCTCGACGAAGCCGAAGATGTTTTCGATCCCCGGAGCCTTATCCTTCACCCAGTTTCGTAGTGAATCTCGATACTTGGCGAGACTTCCGGTCCTGAAGCTCTCGACGTACTCTTTGATGAAAACTTTCTGGAGCTCATTGGATGCGAAGTTCGCCGCATGTGTTAACTCGACGCACATTTTCTCCAGCTCAGCTGCATGGTCTCCCATCACGAGCTTGACGCTGCCTCTTCCATCAGGCAACGGCAAAACACCAAGACTTCCGTCATCGGAAGAAGCGATCTGCAATTCAAATCCGACATCTCCGTCTAGTTTCCTCAATCTGGTGTTCTCTGGGAGAATGGAGTTTTGTTCCAAGACTTGAGAGACCATTGCGATTTCCTCTTTGGTGATATGGTTTCCCGGGTAGTAAGTGCTTTGAGTGGTCTCTCCCGGATATCCAAGGCTGAAGGGCGGTGATGAATAGATAGCGTCAGCAAACGAGCTATACAAAGCCTGAAGTCTGTCAGACTTAGTTGCAATCTTTGCGAAGACGGTCCCAGGGATGGCTGGGATGAACTTCTGGTCGCCGGATCCCTAGAATAGTTAGCGGAATCGACTCAAGTGAGTTTTGCGACAACAAACATAGTAGTTCCCTAGGTTCGACAAAAAGGTTGCCACGTAAGTGAGGAATTGGCGCGTCTCTTCGATTCCAATCTCATCAGCAAGTTGATCCCAACTGCCATTCCACGCCGCGTGAAGCTCGAGGATGAAATCAAATATTGTCAGCGATTCTGGCGAGGTTTGTCGTAGAACAATTCTCGCCCCGTGCCATGCTGCACTTCTTGGGTGTCAGCGAAGCAGTCGTGTCTCTTTCATGTCATTACTTACCGTGCCATATGATGGGCATATCTCTGCTGCGACTTGGTCAAGCCTTCAAATTGCGACCTGACGTCCAGTCGAAAGACCTGGACGGACTGAACCTCCATGATAGCTCACAACGAAAGCAGACTCTGTGCGCAATGCCCCGAAAACTTTGAAAAGCTTGGGTTATATCTGCATGTGAGGAAAAATGAAAGACTCTCTCCATAAGACTCAGTGCTCTTATCATTGCCAGGTACGGGGTGCTTGTTTGGGTAGGCGGCCCCGCAGTGACTGTCGTACCACTAGGGAGATGCATTTGCAGAGCTGATTGGGCTCGCGTAAATGCCAATAATAGTCTCAAAGATCAATGGTGTCCGGATATGACCCTGTTGTTTGTTGGTTGGGTTGGTTGAATGTTGGTTTGTTCCGCGCCGGGTTGACGGGCAAGGGCAGAGGGCGCTAACCTCGATCATCGGAAAGTTGCGGTTTCCGTGCCTCAATCAAGCAGCCCAATCACAATAAGATCACAACGACACAAAATGCACTTAACAATGTACTTATCTGCTTGGACAAATTTCTTCATGATGCATTTTTCTTGTCTTTCTGGCGCCGTGCAATCACGAATGACCTCTTGTATAGGAAAGGATACCTTGCCGGTTGACTAGTGCGTGTCACCACAGGTAGTATTATTAAGTGGTTCCGAATGTGCAGGTCGCCTGTATTATCGACGGAAGGTTCTGTCCAGGAATTATAACAATGGTATAGGCACCAAATTTGTTCATCTGATCGGGGCAGGACAAGACGACCTAGGATGCGTATTCGAGTCTGCATGTGGGCACTGTCAATTGTTTCAAGCCTCTTATTTTATGTTCTGAGGGAACGCTGAGTCAAGAGCATATATCATGAGGAGCGTTGCCCATAACTCCCTGTAAGTCACCGAGTACTCAAGTCTACTCATCTCAGCCGAAAAGAAGTTGTCTCAGACTCTGTGCGGAAGATTGGTGAGCTCTTTCTTCCTGTCGCTCCTGCGTGGCATATGTCATCTTACCTTCTTGTCGCGTCAGACCTTAGAATCTACATTGGGAAGGTTGGTGCGAGTAGGCATTCCTTCGTGGATAACCTGCTGATCTTATCAATCGGGACTTGCTGTCTTTGAATGAGCTGATATCTTGGCAGCAAGCATGTAAGGGCCGTAAATCTAACGGTAAGATCTCACGTAAGGCGAGTTATCGGTTCGTCACACCGATTGTGACCTGGTAAGTGTCCACAATAAGCCGACAACACATATACAGCGCGAAATCGGATGCGTTATCCACTTAGGCCTTTACATGTAAGCTGACGGCGCCTGCAAGAGGCCGTAATGTCTTATTAACATTTACGAGCATGTACAATGCCAAAGAGGGCTGATTGTTGCTTCAAACCCTGATCGAGCGATGTTTGGAACTGGTCTCGGCTCCGTTACATAAGAGCACAGGATCCCTGTTTCCTTCGCCTTGTTCGCGCCCTTTTGCCTTGGACTTTATTCTGAAAGACCCTTCGTACGGTGTCAACATGGCAGTCACTGCTTTCAAACGCGCCAAACCCTTCTTCGCATGTATCGTGGGCCTCATCGCCGCGGTTATATCCTTTCGCCGTGGTCTAGGAGCTCAAAGTGAACAATTCACTCCCGTCATCGGAAAGAACAATACCGTTCTCTTCATCACCAACATTGAACACGGTCTTTCGAATGTCCACGTCGCAACTGTTTACTCCCTTCTCGAACGCCACCCAGATATCACTATTCACTTCGCGTCATGGTCCAAAATCAAGCCCAAGATCGACAGGATAACTATCTACGCACGCAGAAAGACACCGCAAGCCCGTTCTGTTGTATTCCATGACCTACCAGGCCCGAACTTCCAGGAGGCGTCTGGGCGGAATTCCTCATTAAGCTGGATGCAGCCGCCCGGGATCGCAGGGCTGGCGGGTCTGAATGAAGATATGGCGCAATTCATCTCGCCATGGTCTGGGGAAGATCACCTCCTGATATACGAGAGCATAAGGGATCACATCAGAAATATTGATCCTGCAATCGTGGTACTTGACATGTTTCACCGACCGGGGATGGATGCAACACGGGGAGACGGGCGCCTGCACGCAATTCTATCACCGAACGTCCTAGCTGACTGCTTCGCCGGGGATCAGCCATGGCTCAAAGGATTTTGGAAGTTCCCAGCGTAAGCCGACATTCAGTCTATAATCCTCGAACTCACAGCACAGCAGCGCAGACTGACATGTTCTCTAGGGTTGGCTCTGGTCACGAGTTCCCTGTTCCTTGGCGAGATATCCCCACGAACATTTACCAGATGGGAAGCTTCGCATGGACAATGATGTTTAATGCAGAGCTCAACGAGAAACGTAAATTTCTTGCCAGCCATGGACTAAAAGACCCAATCAACTTCTTTAATATCCATCAGCCTGGAAAAGGCGCATTCATTACCCAACACACCCCGGCGGCGGCCATTCCTCTCGATTTCCTTCCCGCCAATGTCACTACTACAGGACCGATTGTCATCTCGGGTACCTCGGCAGAAGAGCAAGATCCCGAACTGGCCGCCTGGTTGACTAAGGCACCGACCGTGCTCGTCAATCTAGGTAGTTTGTTCGAATACGACACAGGGAGAGCTCAAGATATGGCTGGTGCATTGAAGGTCGTCATGGAGCGTACGGAGGTTCAGGTTCTGTGGAAGCTCAATAGAGCCGCCAGTCTCAAGGACGAGGACTGGAAACCCTTGGTCGATAAGTTTATCAGAAATGATCGACTGAGGGTTTCAAAGTGGTTAACGGTTGACCCGACTGCATTGCTTGAGACGGGAGACATTGTTGTCTCTGTCCATCACGGTGGTGCGAACTGTTATCATGAAGCTATTAGGTACGTTCCTGCTCAGTTGGGTCGTGCACATGTGCCATTACAACATGGTACGTTCCTGCTCAGTTGGGTCGTGCACATGTGCCATTACAACATATACCTTACTGATATTTGACCTTTCAGTACCGGGGTACCGCAACTCATCCTTCCTGCGTGGCTGGATCTCTACAACTACGCTGCACGTGTAGAAGCGATTGATATCGGAGTTTGGGGCAACAGGCAATCTGCTCCTGCTTTCTCGCTCAGCGAACTCAGCAGCGCTTTTCTGAAACTGGTCGACGGCGGCTCTGCCAGCTTATCGATGAGCCAAAACGCGAAGAAGATTCAGAGAACTATAAGTCGCCCAGGGCGTGATGTTGCAGCTGATGAAATTGCAAGACTTGCGGCGTTAGGCCATTCTTGAGGTGTTGCTCTAAAAGAGACACCTTGCCAATTCGAATGCAATTTGAAATTGCAACTCTGTTCTGAAATACTGTCTTCACGAAATACTAACCATATACGTGCTTCCATACATTCCTAGCTCATTCCAAAGCTCCGTGTATTCTGGGCTCCGTATACAGCCTATACAATGATCACTTTCTCTCGGCTCTCTTGAAATAATATCGGAAAGTTCTTCTCCTATTTCCTTTGAAGCCCTGTGTATTGCCAAAAGAAGATGGTACAGTGCCGTCTTTCTGTTAGTCGATAGCCAGTCTTCAAAATGTGACGTTGGGCAGCGGACTTCAACCCATTCATTCAGCGTCGCTTTCAGGCACCGTTCGTGGTGCTCTATCGACTCGTAGCTAGTCATCAGAGCTGGCCTCCAATCCCCGCCCGCGACCCGTACTTCCCATGGATTTGGTTGACTCTTAGAAACCTTTGGGTCAATCCAATATGATTGGGCTGTACTAGATAGATACCAATCTGAAGCCTGCTGAATTTGGGAGTCTGAGTCTGAGTTCGGCCCATCACCTGTCAACTGCTGGGCTCCTATCCATTCGCGTATTCTGAATTTCAATACCGTGAAGTTTTTTTCAGCGCGTGGGCGGTATCTTTTTGTCAACCACTGGAGATAGAATCCGCCCGGATCATCAGACCGAAGTGCCTCAGGTTTCCCGCAGGTAACGAGTCTGACGTGTAGAGGTAGTAGATCACGATATGATCGTGCGTCGGGGAGCAAACGTCGTCTCATCGTACCTCCGTAATCTTCATCATCTAGCTTCTGATCGCGAAGTTTTCGAAAGATCTTGAGGGAGTCGAAGAGGCTCGATTGAAGATCGTCGAGGCGCAGCCTGCTGGAAATGAATACTCCTCGGCCAGGTGACGCAATAAAGGCGTATGGACAAACTGCAACCAGTGTGAAGTTTGTCTTTGATTCTCCCGTGGGCTTTAGGACAATGAATATTCTCTCAAACTGGCTAACATTCAAGATAAACATTTGTTCGTTCCCGCAACCTATGAGCTCGTCAAGGGGAGACTCCGATACGATATAGGCCGCGTGAGCATCCCGAGGTTGCATGAGAAAAATATGAGAGGCCTGCTTTCTGGCGATGCGGATCGGCCGCGTCTTGAAGGTGAAAAATTGCGTTACATTGATATTCAAGGCTCCTGTCGCACTGTTGACGAAGGCTCCTTGATGCCATGGCTTGTTTGCCTTGATCCAGTCTGTCTCGGGCCCCCAAAGCTCGTAGGCTATGCGTGGAACCTTTCGCCTAGGACATTCCAACACAACTTGTGAAAGAATTTGATCCGGAGATAGTTTGCTAGTAGTCTCCCGAGGTGAGAATATGGCCCTCCAGTCTTTGCACCTCCAGTCTGGAGCCCAAGAGGGATAATCTTGGGCTTGTCCTTCGAGTCCACAGGCTTGATACAGCAACCCGGGCTTCTTGAGTACCAACAGAGAATATGCGAACGTGCCAATAAAAACTTGGTTTGCCGATAGAGAATAATCAGCTTCTAAGCCATCATTCGAGGGCAAAGCTGTCGTTGTGTAACTTTGTGCCGAGGGGTCGCCGGGTTTAGGCACAATTCCAAATACACCAAATACACGGTCGCGAGGATCAGTTGATTGTGACTTTGAAGTGAGCAATAAGAGCTCAGTGAGGTCTTTCAGCATAGATTGGCCCTGTGTCAGATGCTGTGCCCAAGGTGCGGATGTTGATTCCCATTTCCATCTGGAAGCCTCTGTTAAAAAATAAGACGCGCCAGTTGCGTCAATCCAGAAGTCAACATCTCCAACGCGAATAACGGCGTTTTGTGAGAGGAGTAGTTCTTGTACTACCCAGACGCGAGTGAAGTATTTACGCCCTAATATAGCTTTTAATCCTAACATAGACCGAGGGACTGTCGAATTAGCGGGAAGATTGGGGATTATTGAGCCTATCTCTAGCTCATGGAGCCGTCTTCGTCGAGGGTAATTCTTATCAAGTTGTGTGGCGACATCGGGTCCGAGGTACACGACACAACGAAGGCATTCTGAGTAGATTCGCGCCATGTTTGCAACCTGGCCGTTCCGCTCTATGACATTGGCCTGATTGATGCAAATGGCATCGACCCACAGCATTCGTAAGCCTCGTTTAGGTCGCACGAAGCGAAGCATCTCCCAGCAATTTTTCGTCTGCCATAAGATATCTCAGTGAGGACCGATGTAGACGGGATTCTGTAATGCACAATTATCGTCTTCTCCGGCCCAGGTGTAGGACACTGCCTCGTATTCGGGGCAATTGTCAAAGGCGTAAAGTTCGAGGTCAAGGTGCACAAGACTATCGCTAGTTTCAGCAGCCGGGAAACTGATCAACCGAAATTCCTCGGATCGAATTGTCTGAGGGTAGATAGGCGATTGATGAACTCGGATGTCTTGTGCTTCTTCAGAGTCTCTCTCTGTTGATTGCATTTGAACGCAAAGACTTTCTGCTACTTCGCTGGCTTCTTGGCTCTTGTCCGAGTTGTTGAAATGGCTGTTGACAGCATCTGGCGGAAGCTTAAACGGAACAGAATGAGGCCACCACAGGTTCATCATACCTGTTGCCTGATTGGGAGGAATTGCCGGGATTGAACCGGCCGTGACGTCGTCTGTTGTTGGCTTGGCCGCGTGGGCTGTTCGATGACACGCTCGACAGACGGGGATTCCATCTTCGACCTCAACACGAGGGAGATCGCAATTGGTCTCGTGCCAGCGCGACATGTCTGCGGCTGACATCTACTAGAATTCCTGCGCGAGAGTTGTTGGCGAAAGGAGCTGGGACCATGATGAAGTCGGGCGGACACTTATGACGTGGAGGTAGCTTCTTTGCAATAAGCAGGCTGTGGTCGATGACCATGTACAATGACATGGATATGTGCAGAGCCTGCTTACATCCTACGTCTAACTCCGCCTGATAGTCTGCCTACAGGATAGCAATATTGAATGATATGCGAACTGATTCCGCAATCTGCAACCCAACTATCTGGTAGTAGCCCTCAGGCAATGCAGCATGGATCAATCACATGGTCTCTAAGTTCGATGTCATTTCTGGACGTTTATTAATTTTGATATCTTTTCCCAGTATTACTTAGGTGCTCCCCTTCCCTCTGTACTCCGTGAAAGACACACAGTGAACTCATGGTATACATGAGCTGTCTGCCCTGAGTAGTGCTCTGTGAGACTTCGCCTCTTACGGGGCAGTAGCCTTGACAGAGGTGGTGGTGAACTCGGCACAGCCCTGTCCTTGTGCAGACACAGTCACCTGTGCCTTATTATCGTGACCGTTCAAGCAGGCGCCGCCAGAGGCAACAAGCTGGTTGCCAGACTGGGCCACAAATTCAACATTCTTCGAAGCGCAGTCCTCGGCCCGAAAAGCGGTGCCGTTAAAGCCGACGCAAGCCTGCTTGTTCACCAAGTCAGGTCTGAAGCCAGCAGTGAAAGAACGCTGCACGAGAAGAACGTTGTTGCCGCCCTGGGTCGAGGGGGTGATCTGTCTGTCCGCAGCGGTGTTGACACAGGCAGCGTTGACGATCTCGCCTAGCAGATAATACGTGTTAGTGTGGGGTCGCCTCAGATAACATGGGAATTGTTCAATCCCAGAGAGTCATACCGTTGTTGCGGAAAGTGAGGCACTCGTTTCCGGGTACGCCACCCTGCTCCTTGAAGACGAGAGTGCTGCCGCCCTTCTTGATGGCCTGGCGCTTAGACAGATCTTCGGCGGGCATGGCGGCCACGAAGGTGGCAAGGGCCAGGGAAAGAGCCGCGGTGAACTTCATATTTGCTGAGGAGACGAAAAGGTCGGGTGAAGGATTGAAAAGTTAAGTTATATGAACAGTTAAAATGAAACAAGGGACCAGCCGAACGAAGAGAAGGTTTGCAAGTTGGAAAGTCGAGTGAGCGAATGGGATGATTCTCAAAACAAGTGAGACACAGAAGTCGAGGCCATCGAGTCGTCTTTAAATCCAAGCCAGCGACACCGCCAGACTGCGGCACCCGGGCTGCAAACTGGAGAAACTGAGTCTGGCAAGGGAAATTAAGCTTGATGCGACACGTCGCACCGCCTTCAAACCACCCCTCACACCTGCGACCTTAAAACGGGCTATACCGATCAGCCATACGAAAAAGATGAGGTGAAGGCGGCCCCGGCCCAAACAAGGAGGGCCAGGAGAAGAAGAGACGAGTTTTGACCTGGTGTCAGCTTTTGCCGAGTTTGTCCAGCACCCCTCTCCCAAAACGACGAACCCCCAAGCAGAGGCTAAGCAGGGGTGCTCTGACGCTGTCGCCAACAACCAAAAAGAGGAAAACCCCACCACCACAGCCATTCGCTGAAACGTCTCAAGATCGGTCGGTTGCAGGGTTGCGCCCAGCCGAATCTGGGGAATCACCCCTACAGTCCTACCAGTACGCCAGAAATACGGTTTCATCATGGCACCTCGTCAAGGAGCCGCATAACTTTAGACTGGCTGCCATCTTATGTAATTTCGGATATCTCGGTGTCAGACTTTGGTTGGCAGGGCGGGAGATGACCCAGATTTGCGCTTGGAACCGAAGATCCCATCTTTTTGGGAGGATCGAAGGGGGAATGATGGCCATCAAGGGGGCGTTCTTTGGGTTGAAACCGGCGGCTTCTCGTCTCGAAGTCCACTCGGATCACACTCTATCTCGCTTTCGGAAGGTCTTGTCGGTCTTGTGAGATGAACGTGGATTGCAACTTTTCGTCTATTTACATCCAGACTATGGAAAACTTGTCTTGTTGCTCACTGATCTTCAGTCATTTCCCTTCTCCCCTTCCTGCCAAGATAATTGGTTCATTAGATACGGAAAAGCTGACGGCTTTTCCGTGTTTATACGTCTGCCTTACGGAACGGTCATTTTCAAGCCGTATTAACGGCCAGTGCTATGAGTATTGCAAAGATTCATACTCCGCTCGCAGTTTTGTTATTCAGACGTCAGGTATCTTAGCCCAGCCTTCATGTGAAATCCCCAATTCATAGACTTTGAGAAGCGTGTGCATCTTGGAGCCAGTACCCAACCTTCAAATGTTCACTACTATTTGGGTTGCTGTCTAAGATGCTGGAACCCCCTGCACTCACTTACTCCAATCCACGAGCAGCGATCTACCACAAAGATATCTGCCGATCGAAGCTGAGTTCAGCTTGGGTTCCTTCTGTGTCATCTGACCAATCTCAACATGATTTAGCAAACGACTGCCCGAATGTCTAAGTCATGAGAGTTGTCGAGAGCGATCCAATGGCCGGGCTCGAGACTCAGTAAACACAAAGTTGTGTCAACTGAAAATGTCTCACCGTTGGCTGTTCACCATATCTCGCAAGCCTTAGGCATGGTATAGCACGAGCAAGCCTGTGACTTCAAGTGAATTGATGTCTTCTCTTAAGGGCGGGGCGTTCCTCACAGTAGATCACGCTCTGAACAGCTGGATCAGTGATTCTGCGTCTGATTCTGCGTGGTCGAATTAAACCTCAGCATTTCATTTCACACCTTAATACATGACCTCTCAACTCCTACTACGTCAAGGGTCTTCCGCGCCAACGTCCTTGAGCCTGTTCCACTGAAGATGAGTCAAGAGGCGACCTGCTTAAACGCCCGAGTAGGCAGATCGTGGAATTGGGCGTACTTTTCTATCGTCTGTAACCTCATTGGCCGTTAAGTAGAAGCAGTGTAACCCAAAGCGGCCAAAACGCGGACATGAGATCCCAACATGCATGAAGCTCCGCCATCTGCCTCTGCAGCCTGCTTCCCTACCGAGAGGCATCCAAGGGCGCAGCTACCCTTCTTCAGCCGGCTAGATGAGATTTTGTTACCAAGGCACGACTAATTATGGTGGTCTTCAGAGTAATGAGGTACCTCTTTACCTTCTAATTTGAGCACGATGCTGATATCAAGTCGAGCTAAGTAAACACGCAAGATATCCGACAAGTTTGGCTGTATTGATTGCACACTGTCACCAACGAGAGACCCTAAACTGTTGGTTTGGTCGAACTGCCTTCTGTGGCAGTCCGTAAATGACTAAAAATGGACTACTAGCCGCCGACGGGTCTCTGCATTGCATACTCCCTTCCGACTTCCAACAGAGTGATAATGTACTGCCCCTAGTACTGCCCCTTGCTCACGAGCCAGTCAAGCATTCAAAGCAATTAGTAGAAAAGTCTGCCACGGCTCGAATGTTCTATACATTAGATGATCTGGTTAGAAAACTCACTCGACTTGACTCGGCCTTGATTCAACCTCGCTGCCTTACAGTTATCTCATCATCCAACCCTCATCATCTTTCACAGTCTCACAGTCTCAAGCCAGCCTCATCTCGATGTTACCAAGCGACGCAAAAACAGCTATTCCATACAAAGAGATGGATATATATTGTTTGACTAGACCAAAAGGTCCTCTAAATGCATCGGGGGACATCGTTGGATTCGGGGTAAGGACTTGACTCCCATAGGGCCTTCCTTGTCAAGGACTAACAGCCGGCACATTCACAGATCCTTGCAGCATTTATGGGCACAGCAATTACAACGATAGCCGCAGTCATACTAGCATACTTCTTCGATGGCGTCGACGGCGACCTTCTCAACGAACTAGATCACAAAGTAATTGACTATGTCGGCTTGAACAAGAGGCGTAACAAGCTAGGACGCAACAAATTTGAAGACGAGCGCGAGCAACAGCGTCGTCGACAACGACGTTCAAAGGCGTTTTCGCAATTCATTCTCGCCCTCAGCGATCAACAACTCGTCACCGGCCTGGCTTTACTCGTCGCCGCTATCTCGGGTATGGCAACCTTGTCCCAATTTGAGTTCTCCGTGGCGCATAGTCTTGCCTGGTTCTCTTCCACCACACACCTGGCTACCCTCGACATCCTCAAACAGACGCTCAAGTGTCAGAAACAATGGGTCCTCCATCTGCGAGTATGTGGCATGGTGTGCGTGCTCATTCTTTTGACGTACACAACCGCCGTGATCGCGGACATGGACGTAAACCATAAAGGTGAGGCAACTATGCCAGCAGCGTGTTTAGCCTCGTCTCACGGAACCGGCATCATCTTCTCGCAGCCAGGATTTCCCCTTGTGCTTCTCTGGACTGGATACATCTCCCGCTTGCAAAACATCTATATGAAAGAACGAGGTATTGCACCGCTGCTCGACTACTGGCAGATCACACTTTACATGGAAGACCTCGACTCAGTCCAAACAAAGACCTTGTCTTTCGAGATGAAGCAAGAGAAAGCCGCATGCCATCGCAAGAGCGAGGCTCTTTTCCATGCCAAATACCGTCTCGAAAACCATCAGCCAGGGCCATTTTACAATTTTGTAGCTAGAACCTGGGGCAACGGACATGTTACAAGATTTTTGGCTGGCTTTCATTTAGGAGACATGGGCGCGCGACGTTCAGTAGCGGGAACTCGTTATTCGTCCTCGCTTCTTTCGACATCACCAAAACTGATATTCACTTTCGGTTTTGGAGTGAGCCAGGTCATTCTCCGTCGCTTCATTCACTCGCCAGATCTAACCCCAGAGTCCACCGAGATGGGTTTCGGTCAAATTGTTTCTATTTTCTTACTCATACTGCCAATGATGGCTGTTGGAGAGGTTTACGCAGGTGAGTTTTTATTGACATTGAATTATAAACGACTAGTGAAGACAATTGCTGATACAAACTTGCGAATTCAAAGACTATAAGGCCGGAGGAGTACCCGCTCAGGCCGATATACCGAAACATCAATGCCAGACACTTGGCAGTGATGGCGACATGGAATCAAGCTCAGTACAACCTTGCAATTATATCACACACTTCGACGAAATCAAACAATACTTATTTACAACTGCAAGTGATCCAAGCTTGCTTCCTCAAGATATGCAAGAAGAACTGTATGGATTCTTCTTGGAGTTGAAGAAAATCGAAAGCTGGTTTGGGGTTGGCCCCTCTATCTTCCTCTTCGCGGTGGACATCTTACTATCACTTTCGCTCGGTCCGCTTTCCGTTCCATTCGAGTTTTATGAAGTGAACGGCTGCTACAGTCTGCCTTTGGCCGTTCAGATTCTCGGCAGTATCTGGATAATCTGGAAAGGTAGAAGAATGGTGGCAGCCGCATATCTTGCGTACGAGGCAAACAGCCCATACACCTCCAAGTCGGAGCAAATCTATCTTTGGACGGAAAGCATTCTTTTGTCAAGGGATGGCTGATTTTTACGATACATGTGTTCGAAAAGCCGCAGGTCATGTGGCTCTCTTAGCTAGGCCTCCCGATGGAGACGAAATGAGAACATCATCGTGTCGTGTCCCGGCTTATCGCAGTGGAGTGGTCAGTCCTTAGATGTTTGTCAGCGTAGTGCGGACGTTGAAGGAAGGACCCGAAAACAGATCGAATTTAGCAGAATGAAGCTTACTTTGACAGGTCATTGTTAATGGCCCGTATATTTAGTGAATGTGCAGCTATGGCTTATGGATCGCCTCATACTGCCTCTGTCTCTTCGCTATTCTTAGCAGAACGTCCTTAAAGCTACACCAGGAATAACAAAAAGTACAATAGTGACAATGAAGACATTGTCAAGGATAGCTAAGAATGAGGATATCAAAGAGAAGACCGATGTGCTGAGACCGTAGTCCCTGTCAGATGTTAGCCAGTCAGACAAGAACGTACTATTGGCGACCACGACCTCTTCCATCAATCACATCAATACTCTAAGGCGGCTTATAACGTTAGTAATCTATGCTAACTTGCAATCTATTGCTAACATTAGAGTCTTTTGAAAATTTGCATGCTTAGATGGACCGCTAGAAAGGCCTTCTCTGAGGAATGGGCTTGAAGTGTCGCGGCCGCTTGGTGAGCAAGCTAGACCGCTATTCAAGATCCCCGGTCTGAGGAAAGGACGACCTTTGGAAACTATCCAGGTTTGGCGCCGTCAAGGTTCGGTCTCCACTGCTCTGATAGGTAGGTATATATACCGCCTCAAAGCCTCCCCACCAAAACAGACATCCTTCTTACACCTGACAACCGCCTATTCCTAATACATCCCCCACAGCTCCTCTAACAAAACATCACCAACATGGAATTTACCACGCACCACATCGACCCTCAAGCGGCACACACCCACACAATCATCTTCCTCCACGGCAGAGACAGCACCTGCGCCGACTTCGCGACCGAACTCTTCGAAAGCGAAGCATCAGAACCAGCAAACCACCCACGCACGCTCCCAGACCTACTCCCATCTATCCGCTGGGTCTTCCCCGGCGCCGCGCTCCTTCCCTCCAAGAGATTCGACACCGAAATGTCACAGTGGTTCGACGTCTGGTCGTTGGAAACCCCAGAAGAACAAGCCGGCATCCAAACACCCGGCCTAAGGCGAAGCATCGAGAACATCGTCACCCTCGTCGAGAGCGAATCCGCCCTGGTTCCGATGGATAAGATATTCCTAAGCGGTATAAGCCAAGGATTCGCAACCTCCATCGCCGCTTTTCTGACCACGCCGAGGCTAGGCGGATTAGGTGGGCTGATTGGTTTGTGCAGCTGGATGCCGCCGGCTGGGGTCATCGATGAGCTGGCGGAGGAGGGTTCACTTTATCGCGGAGCAAGTGGCGCAGATTCAACGGCCAAGACTCCTATTTTCCTCGCTCACGCTGTGGACGATGAAGTCGTTGATATCAAACTTGGTCGGCAGTTACGGACGACCCTTGATTCGTTCGTGAATTCATGTACAGTGGAATGGCATGAGTATCAATCAGGAGGTCACTGGGTCAACGAGCCGCAGGGTGTGGATGACATGGTCAGGTTTCTGAGGCTTCATATGTGTTGAGCCGGGCTTCACACCCCATTGCACAAGTCGTCGACTCACTGGTCTTTGCGTCTGACATCATACAAGGAAACTTGCAGGTACACGTATTACATGTATATTCCATCATCATGCTCAAGAACGGCAGATGATGCCTCTCTAGTATCCTAGACGCCATGCCATGCTATGCCATGCGCTCTACGCAGTGCTCTCTGTTCGTCTCAGGCCTGACGAGCTTCTATCCCAAAGCTCAAAGCCATCCAAGGCGACGCCGTATACCCCTCAGCGGAAAGGTATAATTCTACGCTCAAATCAACCACCGCCTTTCCACAAGGTGGGTCATCTCCCACCCAGAATGGATCTCAAGACATCACGACTCAAGACTCAACCTCCATCTCCAAATCCGGATCCACCTCCGTCCCCAAATCCCTCTCCTCCAAAAACCGCCTTCCAACAAGCTCATCAGGCAGATACTCCTGCCTCACCCTGCCCTCCCGATAATTCGGCGGGTACTTATACTCCGCCCCATACCCCATCTCCCTCATCAACCTCGTAGGCGCGTTCCTCAAATGCAACGGCACAGGTAACGCCGCTACGCCAGGCTCCTTGAGCGCCGCGTAGGCATTATTCAGACCCCTATACGCCCTCGTGCTCTTCGGCGCGAGACTCAGCGCCACGGCGCAGTGCGCGAGAGGGATCCTAGCCTCGGGCATGCCGATCTGCTGCGCGGCTGTGTACGCTGCCGTCGCGAGCGGAAGGAGAGTGTTATCTGCCAGGCCGACGTCTTCAGAGGCGATGACGACCATCCGTCGTGCTACGAACAGGGGGTCTTCGCCGGACTGGAGCATGCGCGCGAGGTAATACAGCGCCGCGTCGGCGTCTGATCCGCGGACGGCTTTGTGGAAGGCGGAGATGGTGTCGTAGTGTTGATCGCCTGCGCGGTCGTACACGAGCGTCTTGGTTAGAGAGGCCTTGATGCTCTCCTTTGTCGTCCCCGCGCGCGTCGACAGGGAAAGCGCGAGCTCGAGAAGGTTCAGCGCTGTGCGGGCGTCGCCGTCCGAGAAGGCGGCCAGGTACGTCACCAGCTCCGCGTCGACGAGCGGGCTACCGGGAAAGTTATTCGTTCGCGCCTCTTCGTCAATAGCACGGAGGAGGATTCTCGCCACGTCTTCGCTGGAGAGCTTCGAGAGAGTAAACGTCCTACACCGCGAGAGCAGCGCGCCCTGAACTCTAAAGGAAGGGTTCTCCGTCGTGGCGCCAATAAGTGTAATCGTACCCGCCTCAACGGGCTTCAGGAAAACGTCCTGCTGCGACTTGGAGAAGCGATGTATCTCGTCGCAGAAAATAATAGTCTTGCGGCCCGTAAGAGCACCCTCATTAGCCGCCTCCGCAAAGAGCTTCTTGCACTCGGCCACGCCGGACGATGTGGCATTCATCTCGATGAATCGCGAACCAACACTATGTGCTATACACCGCGCAATCGTCGTCTTGCCGGTTCCCGAGCCGCCCCAAAGAATCATTGAAGGCACGCGGTCCGACTCGATGAGGCTGCGCAGCACGCCGTGCGGGCCGACAAGATCCTGGCCGCAGACTTCGTCTAGGGTTCTAGGACGCATTCGCTCTGCCAAAGGCGCTGCGCGAGCTGTCTTTGTGCGCTTTGCCGAGGGACCGATTTCTGGTGGTTGTGTTTGTTGGGTTGCTTCGCTATCTGTGTCGGTGGCCGTCGCCATGGGAGAGGGTAGCTCGCCTGGCCCGTCGTCGAATCTCCGTTTCATGCCCGCCATGGGCCGAGTAGTCGTCGCTGCTGCTGTCGTCGTGCCATTGGACGGGGTCGTCTGGACTTTGGCGGGAGGGGCATGGCGCTTCGGTGCGGGGGTCGAGAAGAAGGAGGAGGCGGGTCGTTTGGCTTGTGATGAGGTGAGCGTAGAGCCGGAAGTGCCATTAGACTGTGTCGCTGTCGGCGGGGAGGATGTTCGTTCGGGGTTGAAGATGTGGTTTTGGCAGCCTGAGTCGATGTGGGAGTTGATCAGCGTCTCCTTGACGGGTTTGTTGCAGATGGGGCAGTCGACTGCTGCCATTTTGAATGGAAGACGGAGCTGTGACGCATGCAATGGGGTTGCTTTGGTTCGTGATTGACCTGCGTTTATGTCGAATGGTCCGGATTCGTCAATTCGTGTCAGTCAGCAATGTTGGTGCAACTATCGCGAATTCGTGTGAATTTGGAGGTTGAGCTGTGACTGGAGGAGACGCGCCTTTGGGGGAATTTTTGAGTGCAATGACGCGCCTGGCAATTGAGCTCGAAATTCTAGTGGGGCACGGCACGCCTCGCTCCGCACTTCAGGTACCTCCAGGCTTCTGGAGGTCCCTTGACTCCACTGCCGTCTAGAGGCGACTGCCAGCGCCAGGGGTCTCGATTCACAGCCGTCGGGTAAGAAGCCGCGCTCTCTCTCGACGGTGGGGCTGCCCGGCACTCGGATTCGGTCGGAGATACACTGTGGTTTCCGTCCGCCCGTTATGCTCGGCATACGGATACACAGTGTTACGTATGATCTCATTGAACACAGCAAAATGGTTGATTCACTCTTCAGGTTCAATTGATAATGAAACTAATAATCTCAGTGATTCGCGCCCGGATGATGAGCCGGGTCTTCTCGTAGGTATCATTACACCTGTATAAAACGCCTCCCAATGCCTTTATCCTCAACCCGAAATGTCAAAAGTGCTCGGAACGGAGCCGTGATGTACAAAGACGCCGTAGCATGAGTTGATGCCGGTGCCGGTGCCGTCAGCAGTCTCCCCTTCTCTATGATGGAGACGACGGCCATGTATGAAGTGTATATCGAAGCCATTGACCCGCTTACGAAAGCAGCGCATGCTCATGCTGTCTCTTCTCTCGCTGGCGACTCATTCAGTCTGCTGTTTACAAACTCCCCTCAAACCATGAAAGACTCTCCGCAGCCACACTGCTCCTCTGTTCAAGTGGTTAGCATGTTGTTTAACCAAAACGACAAGAAGCGACGTAGACTCACTGATATTCGGGTTCTTGAACACAAACCGCTGGCTCAGCTTGTCCTCAACCCAGTCCATCTCGCTGCCAATAATGCTGAACAGCGCCTTGCTGTCAATCAGCACCTTGACGCCATCCTGCACAACCTCCTCGTCGAAGCTACCCGGCTTCTCGACGTACTCGAGGTGGTACGCCAGGCCCGAGCACCCCCTGTTCCGCACGCCGACCTTGATCAACTTCGGCTCCGGCTGGTCCAGCATCGCGCGCAGCTGCTCTACCGCCGCGGGGCTGAGCTTCATCGCTGCCTTGCGGGCACGGAGCGTGCGCTTCGGACGGGCGGCTGACTTGGGGGTTTGGGCTGCTTGTTCAGAAATCTTTGGCGCGGGGGCTGCGGCGGCGGCGGTTGCTGCTGATGACGTCGTCGTGGCCTTGGCTGCGGCGGATGTGGTCGCTGCTGTTGTTGTCTTTGTCGTCGAGGACTGTGTGGCGGAGGAAGAAGAGGAAAGAGTGCTCGGTGTTGAGGATTGTTGGTGGGTTGTCGCCATTTGCGAGGGGATCTTGGGGGGTCTCGTCTCGTTGACCTTCGGCAGAGCATCCGGCGATGCGATGGAGCTCTCGGGGATGCCGTCGCCTCTCGCAGGAGGGAGTGTGTTGTTTGAGTAGAGAGGGTATGACTGGAAAGACGGGCTGCCGTAGGCGCGACGAGCAGAGGCGCACTGCAATGCCGTGCAGGAGCGGCGGAACGCCACTCTGCTGAGTATCCTCGGTGCATTCATCTTTGTGCTGGAGGTTGTGTGTGTGTGTGTGTCTGTTTGTGACGAAGTCGAGTTTGCTAGAGGGAATCACACAAGGCGAGGTTGCTTCCCCTTTGGTTTTGTTGTGTTTGTCGTCGAAAGATCAGGTGTTGAGGTTGAGAGGGTTGAAAATCATTCGACGGTGACGAAAGAAACAGGCGGGAATTGTAGGTCGGAGGTTTTTGCGGTCAGGATGGATTGGCAATGGGAATGTGGCTGGCACTCGGAGCAAAGCAACAGAAGCTGGGGCCAAGGGGGGTCATTTGACAGGTTCTCGCCGTGGCGCGGCTATGACATGGTGAGCGGTCCCCAGTGTACCGGGTGCTCTGCAGCCAATCAGAAGCCTGTAATTTGTCAACGGCCGGGACAGATGACAAAGCAGCCTCTTTTCCTTCAGTGCCTTTTGGGCATTAACTGTCCATTGCTTCATTTCTCATGACTAACAAACACCTTGAGAGCCTCAAAGGCATTGTCCATTCTTTCCTTCTCCAAACTACCTTAGTCAGGTACTCTGTTTGTCCAGTGTTACACTACATTGCCGAGTTTCCTGGACTCTCGGGGAATCGACGTGGTTCGAGATTAGGTTTGCCCGGACTGACAAGGAAGAACTCACATCCAATCCTGAACAGCCTGTGGAACCACACTTGACATGCCGAATAACAACCTTGAAGGTCAAGGGCTCGAGGTTGACATTAGCTCTTAAGGCTGGAGCCGCAGTCAACAAGCCTCAAATCAGCATGCCAAACATTGATCAACCAGACTCCAACACAATGTTTCATGAGAATCATCTCGGGTGTCATTAATATCATACAGTCTATCACCCATCCCTCCTTGCCTCACATCTTACCGCTCCACCAACCCTCTGACATCAGCCACAGCCGCTCTCGCCATCTTCTTCAACAACGTCCTCTCATCCGCTTCACGGTACCGATCCCACGTATCAAGCCCCTCCTTCGCTTGTATACTCAGCGTCTCGTACCCTTGCTTGATCACCTCCGTCACCTGCATGCTCGTCAGGTTCCCCTTCTTCTTGCCGCCCTCCGCCAGCAGCTCCTTGTAGTGCGTGCTCACGCTAATGAGCGTGTCAATCGAGTTGCTCGGCCTCTTGCCGAGCTGATAGCTCTCCTTGAACTTGGTCAGCGTGTCGCCAGCTTCGACGACCTTGTAGAATAGATCGTCGTACGCCGCTGGCGATGGCAGGAATCCTTCGCCTGCCGACAGCGAGAGCGCAACCAGGTTGACGACATTGTCTAAAAGGAGGTCGATTTGCGAAAGGTCCTTCAGGTCCGCGACATATTGCGTCAGGAACCGAATGAGGTTCAGCAACGCGCGGAAGAGGTCCGCCCAGTGATATGTCAGTCGTGTCCGTGACCGTGAGAGATATGAAATCACCCGCAGCAGGATTCCGACGCAGAGTGTGTAGAGTCCGACGTCCAGCCTCCTCCGTAGGTTGTGTGTGATGCCGTCCACCATAGTATCCAGCACGGCCGTCGCCAGGATCCGGTCCCCTCTGACCAGCGGGAGGAACGGTTGCCTCTGGCGACACAGACGGACTTGTCCCTTGGACTCTTCGCTGCATATCCGCTTGCATAGTACGGGGTCCTCGATTAGTAGGCGGAAGACCATCAGGTTGAGATGCGAGTAGTGTGTCGTGCGTTCGGAGAGATGGGCGTGCTGGAGGAGGTATGAGGTGAGCGATGTGAAGGCTGCCAATGGCTGCTCTTCGCCCTTTTCGGCAGGCAGAGTGGCGAGGTTGAAGCAGAACAGCTTGTTGGCGTGGGTAAAGTCGTAGGTTGCTAGCAATAAGGCGGCTTCCTCGCCGGGTCTGCTGCTTGTTAGATGCCACATTTCTTCGTTCCAAGGTCAGCCAGACGATACTCACAGCTTTGTAAACATCTGTTTCATGGTCTCGGCATCGTAGACGGGCTTCTTCTCCGGCTTGGGACCCCTCGCAACCGCGCCAAGGCCAATCATACGCAGGGTGCCGTTGAATGTCCACCCCTCGGGCAAATCATCTTGTACATCCACGAATTGTGTAGTCAAGCTTTCGCATGTTTGACCGATGCACCGGATGATCTTCTTAATGGTCGCCTCGTTGACAAAGTCGTTTAGTCGCATCTGGTAGGGGTTCTGGAACTCGAATTTGTTGTAGTTCGCCAAGAGGCCTAGGAGAGAAAAGGGGCTGAGGATACGCTCTGTCGTGTCGGTGTCTTGTATGAACTGCGGGATCGTTAGTTGAGGCTCGCACAAATTGCAAGAGTAGGATGATCTCACCTTCATTACTGAGGGGAAGAGATCCCTCTGAATAAAGTATGTCAAGAGACTGGTCTGGTATGCGCCCGCCGTCACAGCCAGGACAACCTCAACAGCCTTTTGTCGCAATTCCACTGCAACGTGTTAGTCTGTCTCGTGCTTGGCTGTAACTACGTCCTCTTGCGCCAAACTCACAGCTCTTCCCGCTCCTAATGATCTGGTCCACAGCGCCCACAAAGTCCGTAAAGATCGTATCGACATAATCGATCCCAGCCAAGACGATGATGATATCCGAGCTAGGGTGTGCGTACTTTTTCGAAAGAGCCGAGCAGAGGAACACGCTTAGAGTCTACCGTCCTCCCAATCCAAGTCAGCAACTCTACTAGCACCTTCCAAACCTCGCCTCGGCGCAAAAGCCAAGGAATCAGCTTGTGCCCCTGGTTTACTCACGTCAAGCGCATGCAGATCTGCGACACCCTGCCCACTCTTCATAGCAGTAACAGCGCGCGCAAACAGCTCCCTGGTATGCTCCTCCAACGCAAGCATGTCTGCCGGCCCGAGGCCATCGAGAATTCGCTTCAGGGCGGGGCGGTCGGGCCGCAGGAGGAAGAACTCGCGCCAGAAGCCCTCGGAGCGTTCTGCGTCATCTTCGGCGTCCTACTCAATCATGGAGATCGTATCAGCGGGTTGCCAGTGTACAGAGTCGTGCTTCTTTGCGTAGCAGTAATGTCTAGGAAGGTACGACCATGTGGTCCGGAAGTTGAAGATCGTCAAGGGGGAATGCTCGGCCAGGCGCAATGGGGCAAGCTCGGGATTCGTGGGTATAGGGATCGAAGAGAACACACACCTAGAGAGAGAAGGTAAGCTACAAGTCCTACATGAAACCGGCGAAAGAGTACCTTGGACACACAGAGACATGGTCGAGGGGTCACAAAGGCAGGGAGAAGCGGAGCTGTCGAACCTTGAATAGCGACTCGTACAGCTGTACGATCTTGGGCTTGAAGACCTCGGGCGGGGCCTGACGGGTCAGCGGCGACGCTTCCATTCCCGAGGTATGGCGATCTGTGGCGATGAAAACGAAGAATTGGCTACCGCTTTATGTCGGAGGCAGCGGGAGGAGGGCAGGTAATCTGTAAATGTTTGGTTTTGGGGGCTGACGACGTCGGTCCGGCAGCACGCGAGCTAACCGTTGCGATACGCGTTCCGATAAAAAAAAAAGATGGAGAGGTCCCCGTTACAGCTCAGGGATTCTGCACCGTTTGCTATCTGGGTTGGCACGGTTTTAAACGGTTACTTGCTCGCAATAGATACAGTGCTTCTAGAAATGATGACTGTACTTGCACATGCGCATTCTCCCCCTGAACTCGGGCTGCCTCCAAAAAAAGATCGGGACACTTGTCCAGCGCCAGAAACATCCATGGCATGTTTCATGCACGGGCGCATCATAATCCAGTCTTTCTCCGTAGGGCTGATATTGATATTCTAACTACAGGGCCGCCGATCCAACCGTCTTCCCAACCCCCAAGGCCGACGCCTCTGTTCCATCTCCATCGTATCAAGCTCTTTACCTCTGCCAAGAAGCGACCAGCTTACCAAGTTAATGAAAGTTACAACCCAGGGTCTTTCCCATCCTAGCCGCATCGAGAACCGAGTCAGCGAGAGAAGAACCGCCGTATGCGCCCTTTGTGGTTGACCGAGCCCTCGCCTTGCATTTCTTGCGCCGAGTAATCATCAAATGTGGGTTGCTGAGGCGCCTGCTTCGGCAGAATTGATTTCTCCCTGGCCTTAAAGACTCGGCGTATCTCTTGTTCCTTAGCAGCAGCAGCATCTCTGTCGGGGCCGGGCGACATTTGTAGAATGTGTCGCCGAGCAGCAAACTGCCGCTTACGCTCTGCCAATCTTCTAAACCACCATGAGTATTCGCTCTCTCTTGCATCTGGGAGTTCAGAAGTCTTCGAAACTCTCGGGCCTAGAAGGCTTTCCGAAGTCTGACTTTGGGGCGCACCCTCCGAATGCTCATTCGAGGTTTGGTGGTTCTGCTGAGGGTTGGCGCCAGCATCCGTGGCTTGGTCCGTCTTCGGGTCCTCGGCAGGCACCCATATGACCAAGTTGAAATCCGCCGGCTCTGGACCTTGGTCGAATTCCACAAACGAGGCAATTTGGTCAGTGAAGGCTTTGATCTCTTCAAGCGCTTTTTGACCCAAGATGACATCATGGATACAACTCTCAAGAATGTGGAATTGGAACACCGCATCATCACGGCTTAGGGGAGAGCCCGACTGGCCCATGCAGGCCCAATGTGCCCATGCAGAACCCATTGTCTTTTCCACGTTCCCGTTAGGAAATCGCAAAAGACGTTGATCATTCCAATCGATGGTATCATGCCAATTCGTATGGCGGCGTGCAAAACTGGACGAGACGAGGTTCGACTCGGAACCCGAGTCGGCAAGTGCCAGGACCGCAACATCGCCGATTCTACCTTGAAGCCGCTGGCTCACAGATCCAACACTGCTTATGAGGAGAAACGATTTTGCCCAAGGAGGTCGGGGGGCTCCGCTCAAACGGGCGCGGTACTGGTTCATTGTCCCCGAAGTTGTGAGAAATTCGCTTCCTAGGATAACATCATGAGCGAGATCATTGATGACCTGGAACGCGATGTTCCAGGATTTATCAGGATCGTATGCGAAATTCCATACAGCATTGATGGTACCGGCACTCATGATGGTCTTGCCGTTGGCCATTCGAAGACCTGTGTCTTGAGCCTCTGGCAGGCCGGGTGGTGGCTCGAGACCGAGTCCTTTGGCAAGCGAAGAAGACATCAAGTTGCAGCCAGCGCCAGTATCGGGAATCGCATTGACCGTTTGACCTTCTATCGCTCCTTGAGCCATAAGCATGCCGCCTGATGCAAGTCTTGGCATCCAAAATCTGTCTGCTGAAAAAAGGCAATGTCATTCGCGTCAGCTGTATTTGGGGCAAAGTGACGAGACGGCTGTGGTGCATCCTTACAGATACATTCTCCAGACGCGACGAAATCGGCATACAGGCATCGCAATTTTGGGTCTGAAAGGATATTGTATGCATGTCGTATCTTGGAACATTCTCGTTCTCCTAGTAGGCTGTAGGGTGAATATCGCTCTGATTCCTTCCAGCATTTAATGGCGTCTTTTTTGCGACATGCTGAATTCTCATAGGAAAAGTATGCCTGCAGTTTCCGTCTGTAAGCCGCTTTAACCTCGATTTGCGTGGCAGTTTCTGGAATGCCCAGAGTCTCATAGAACTTATCGGATTCTGAGAAGCGAACCATATTGAACGCTTTTGACGCTTTTTTGACGTATAGAAGGACCGTCAATTTAGGCAACGTCTACAACTCATGAGGCGGGAGAGAAACCAGCAAGCTCGCTACTAGAGGCAAGGAGAGATCAGGCTTTGATATTCCTGAGTATGGCTATTCAAGTTCAGCTGCGCCCCTAACAAGCCATGCTTGCAGGGTGTGTGATTGGTCACTTCGTCTCCAAGGCATACTTGCACATTGATACCAGACATCCAACCAAGAGCTCCCTTCACCCATGGCAGGCGGCCGGGGTGCCTTGGTCCCCCATTTCCGTAGTTCACTTCCAGATGCCCATCGATGCAAGTAGATCTTGGCGTGCACATGATGAAACAATCCTCGCTAAGGAAGGCCTGATCAAGATACGTCTCTGCCTTGCCCTTGAGAATCCAGACCGACTGCCCGCTCTTGATACATTATCTTCCCAGACTCTCTCAGAAAGTGGCTGCCGTGAGCAGTTCGACTGCCCCAAATGGCAGCCGCACCGCCCATTTCACTAAGCCACGCAGCTTTCGCGGATTTCCTTGCTTCTGATCCTGAGCTGTCAGTATTTAGAAGTTTCCAAGCTCTAAGCGCTCGGAACCTCCTTCACCTGCAGTCGAAAATGCTGGACATCGAAGCCGAGCTACAAAAGTCTGACGATGATGACGCCACAAACGTCGATGATGCTAGCCGTCTCGCTACCAAGTGCTGGGAAGTGTTTGCATTAAGAGCTCAAGAAAAGGATTCAAAAGAGGCCAAGAAGATGGCTCTTGTGAATCGACTGCAACAAACCATCAAAGAATACCGTACGTGCCTCGAAGGTTGAGCATTAGTGCAATCGTTGTGACGGAATATAGATGAAGCTTTGCTTCTGCGAAGCCAAGTAATGAAGTTCACAACCCCCAACGACCGAGTCTTCCGCGTCTTCCAAGGCTGGTTCGACTCCGAACAACCCTTCCTCGGACACAGCCACAATCTACCAAACAAGCGAGACGACTTCATCGCCCTCGCCCCATCATCAGGCGCAGACTTCCTCACCCGAAACCTCGAAGATCTCGCAGGGAGATACCTAGCAGTACGTCAGTCCTTCTCCACCACATCCCCATTAAACAGCTCTTAATAGTCTGAACCAGGGAAAACGACACAAGGAAACAACAGAAGTAAAATACTACTCCGCCCACCTCGTAACCCGCCTCGTCACGATCATCACCGTCCTCGCCGCCTCCCTCGTCATCCAAGCCGCCATCGTCACCCTCTACCTCGTCCGCAACGAGGTCCTGCGCCTCTGCATGATCGCCGTCTTCACCAGCGTCTTCGCGGCCAGCTTAGCCGTCATGACGGACGGGCGGAGGACGGATATCATTCTGGCGACGGCGGCCTGCGCGGCGGTGCTGGTGGCTTTTGTCGCGCAGGATTGAGATTTATAGCAGCTTTCGGATTCGGGTTTCCTGGTTTGGTGTCGATTGTACAAGTCGCAAGCTGGGAGGTTCAGGCCTGAATCTGATGGCCGGATGTCAGCTTCTTGGGAAGGGATACCTATTTGCATGACTACTGAGGTTCTTGGGAAGTTAGACCTCTTCTCCGGCGTAGAGACGACTGACGCCGATCTCGTATGAGGTGTGACGTTGTGGGTCCGGCCGGGAAACAGAGAACGGGCTCCGGCCGCCGGCCCCACCAAGCGTGAGGGGTCACACTCAACGATGAGAGCACTCCGAGACGAATAAGTCGATCTCGGCGTTATACGTCATCTTGGTGACAGTGATGGCGGTGATGGTATTGGTAGACCTAGCTGGCAGTGGCAAACAGCCTACGGAATCACAGTCAACTTAATTTGGCTCAAAGGCTTTTTGTCTTTAATTCCACAAAGCCTTGCTACCAGAAGAAGGAAGACATATCAATTCACAGAGTTCGCGCACGTTCGCACATGGAAGATTGCCGATGAGACCTGGTAGTAACATTCCTCTACCTCCAACTGAGAACCGAATCCTCTCCAGGCTCAAGTAGAAGCACCTGCTTCATACAGCCGCTTATCCTGGGCCAACTCTTGCCGCTCTCCCCCAAAAACTTAACAATGACTGGACCACATGAAAAGCAGACGAGATTCACAGTTGTGATTATTAGAATTGATTTGTATACGTTGGATGTAATGTAATAATCCCCTAGTACCTGGTATAGGTAAACCCGAGAAAACCATGTCCCCCAAAACCCCCCAATTGTATCCCAATGCTTCGCATCGCTCTGTGCGTCGCAAACCACCCAAAGGTTATTCAAACAAAAGAAAAATCAATCCAACTCCCCTCGCAATGCCATGGTTGTGTGTGATTGTTTATATACAGCTCCCGCAGACTGTGCGTCCGCCCAGAGATTAGTGTGTAGGTAGGTAGTTGGTCGGTCGAGGTATTGTAGATCCGGGCTGGCCTTCGTCTAGTACATGACACTCTGCCTCCAGCGCTCGATGGACTGCATCTGCCCATTGTGACCGGGTTGCATAGGCATCTGCATCTGCTGCATCGGCATCGGCGCCATACCTGGCTGCATACCCATGGGTTGCATCTGCATTGGCACACCCATGCCTCCGCCGTAGGGGTTCATGCCGTTCATGCCCCCCATGTTGTTCATGCCTCCCATACCACCAGCAGTGTAGCCTCCGTATCCGCCCAGATTCGGCTGGCTCATCTGAGCCATGCCTGGATTCCCGTACACTTGATGCTGCTGCTGCATTGGCTGCTGGAATGGCCCTCCGTAATTGCTCAAGGCCATGCTAGAGCGATTCCATCCACCAGGTCCCATATTGACGCCCAAGGTGGCATTGACAGGCGGGAGTCCAGGCTGCGCAAGGAGACCTCGAGCACCCGGCCCGCCGCCGGTACCTCCGTTGGCGTCGTTGAAAGCGCCATTCTTATAGCCACCACTCCGCTGGTTGTTCGGTCCCGTCAGGGTCTGCGGCATCTGGGCGCGGACTGCAGCCATCTTGGCCTCTTGTTCCCGAACCTTGCGCCTCTCCTGCTCAAGGCGGCGCTGCTCGTCCAGAGCTGGGTTATACGCAATCGGGTGAGAGTTGAGGACGTCAGCCAGACTGTGCTTCTTGCGAAGCGTAGGCGCTTCGGCCTCAGCCTGGACCGGCCCGCCGCTGAGCATCATCTCCTGCTCGCGTGCCTCACGTTCGGCCTGCAGTCTCTTCCTACGCTGGCCAAGCGTCTCCTCTCCCTCCTCTGGCTGGGCCTCCTTCTCCTTGCCCTTGTCTCCAGGTTTCTTATCATCGTTATCGCCAAACTGGGCGAGGATCTCCGCAGAGAATGCGCGACTGACAGGGCGGGCGTTGGGGAGATTGTTGTGTTCGGCTTCGTCCTTGGCCCTAAGGCGTCGCATACGCTCGCCAAGGGTCTCTCCAGCAGTAGCTTCGTCCTCCGACTCCTCCTCGGGCCTCAAGTGCTCGGCGGAAGGCATCTGGTTGAGACGCATCTGGCTCAGACCAGCGTTGAGGGTAAAGTTGCTCCTCTGCTTGGCCAATATCCTTGGAGGTTCTTGGCCGTGGAGACGGGCACGACGGGCACTCAGAGGCTCATTCTCTTCCAGGTCACGACGCTCCATCAGACCCATAGGTCGATTCTTCTCGGCCACGTGCGGGTTGCCGGCGTACAAAACGCCAAGCGGAACCTCGTCTTCGTCGGAGCTATGGTCCTCTTCCCTGGCGCCATCGACTTCCCAGGCAAGGGCAATCTTCTTCTTCTCACGGTGCCGCTTCTGCGTCTCGGCAACCGCGTCCAGCTCGATGAGGGTAGCATGCATGCCGTTCTGCCCAACGTTACGGTTCGGGTTCTGAGTGCGCATTTTGGCGTGGTACTTGCGCAACTGCAGCTCAGCGAGGAGGGTGGTGGGGGGCCCATCGAGAACTCCTGCAAACTCATCGACTTCCTCTTCTTCCTCTTCCTCATCTGAACCCTCGCCCTCGGCCTTTTCCCTATCCTCGCCGTCGACGTGATCAGAAAGAGCTTGGTTCTCTTCTCTGCTGCCGGCCATGGAGTTCTTCCTGGATCCATTGTCGGATTTCTTGCTGAATGGCATAAGTCCGCCCTTCTTCTTCTGCGAGGCGGCCCGAACATGCTCTTCGGGAAGCAAGACGGTGGCGGTGGACTTGCGGTTCTTCTTCTTATCGGGGCCGTACGTCTCATTGCCCAACTTTCCTGCGAAAGCGTGGTCGGTGAAGGCACTGACAGGGGCATTGGCAGAGGCATCAAGAATGCTATCGAGCGTCGCCATCGCGGAGCCTCCCTTGACCTCGATCTGCGGTGTTGTGGACGGTAAATCGAAAAAGGCGCTCGCTCGGAGTTGTGGCGGCAGGTTAGAAGCCCTTGGCATTTTGGACTTGCGGCGTTGCGTTGGCGGGGGATCCTCTGGCATGTGTTCTGGTCCTTCACCACCACCAACAGTAGCAGCACCATCACTCGACAGCAACGGGTCGCCCTGCTCGGATGGCACATGGGAATCGACCGCGGCAGGTTCTTTGAGCGATGCGTCACCCGAGTGCTGTCCCCCGATATCGTCTCCAAAAGATGACATACCGTGGCCGGCAAGCGGATCGGGCAACCACATCTTGGACTCGCGAACCTGGGACGCTTCGGGGTCCTGGGGCAGATACTTTGCCTGGCCGAAACCAGGATGGCCCATAGCCTGGAGCACCTTGGAGTGCCTCGCGTTCCGGACCTCAGTCTTGGGCTTCCTGGACAGCTTAGGCGGCAAGTTGAGCATAGCGGGCACTCGAGCGGGGTAGTAGAGCATCTCTTGGCCGGTGAGCTCGTCAAAGTAGGATTGTGGCCGCATAGTATCCCTGTTGTTTCGTGGCATACGTGGCGGCGGCGGTGCTTCGTATTGAGGCTCTGGGATGTCTGGCATGGGCATGGTGTGCGGAACGGGCATGGGCGCGTCGCCGTACTCGCTCTGCTCACGCGAGTCGTACTCGCTCCGCTCGAGGTCTTCCGGCTGGCAATGCACGCCGTCAAAGTCTCCAAAGGCATTGGTGTGGTCAAACGTCGAGGTTGATCTCGGCGTGGGCGGCCTATCGTCAGAGTCTCGCCTGCCGCTGTCTCCGCCAAAGTCCAAGCCCAGGCCTCCAGACTGCTGGTCCATCTCGCCAAGCAAGTTGAAGACACTGCCACGGTTCTCTTCGTTGGTATTGGGACGGCGAATGGTCGCGTCGTCGTCGGCTGTCACAGGGATAGGGGCGTGATCGGCCTCGTCGAGAACACGTCCAGTCAGGGCAACGGGCTCCGACTCGGCAATTTCAGCAAGGGAAGGCTTGCCGGAGCGGGCACTCCTGGTAGACCCCTTTCCAGAACCGTGTCGCGACATGATGGCATCGACGTCGATTTCGGGGCGGCCCCTGGAGTTGTTGGAGCCGGAGCGCAGGCGGCCGGTCAAAGAGTGATTAGGAGACATGACGTAGCCGCTGGGAGAGTAGCCGCCGAGGCGGGCGTTGTTGTTCAGTTCGACGATGGAGGCAACGGGAGGGAGAACGCGAAGGGGACCGGGTTGGGCCGAAGATTCGTCGATGGGGGAGTTTGATGCGGCGAGATTGGCGGCAAGTATGGAGGAACGACGGGAATCGGAACGCTTCAACTCTCCATGCAAGTCGCGGATGGCGTCCTCGATGGAGCTGGTCATAGACAGGCGTTCGGCCGACTTCTCGAGAGCAGCGACGTTTGTGGTGTAGGCGCCGGAGCGGCAGTTGAGGTCGGGAACGGGGTGTTTGAGTGTAAAGGTGCCCGAGTCGGATGTTGTACGAACGACTGGTTGGGCGACGGGACGAAAGAGTGTGGATGCCGAAGAGGCGTTTTGATGTTGCTGTTGTTGCAAACTGTCCTGGATCTGAGAGATGAGGCTGCTGTTGGATCGCAGGGACGAGGTGGAGATGTGACGAGCGAGAGCAGCAGGGGCGGAGAGAACAGTCGAGGAGGGTGAACAGGCGGCGAAGGAATTGGAGGCGGTGGTAGAAGTCGAGGTTGCCGGGCTCGTGATGGTGCCAGTTGCAGCAGCAAAGGATCTCGTATTGTGGTCGCTCGTATTCAGGTTGTCTGCGGTGGTGGTATCGATATTTTTCGTATGAAGGGCCAAGGGGGCAGACGCAGAGGCCATGACTCTGCCCGTGGGCATTGGCTGCTTCTCCTGGATGGCTGCTGTTGGCGCTGCCGCGGGCGCTGGCTGGGGGCCCTGTAGCCGGAGGGACGTGCTGGCGCCATCCCTGACGCTACCGGCAGCCGTGTCCTTATCGGATCCCGTATTCTTATCGTTGCCGACCTTAGGTAAGATTTTCTTATCGGTGCACATATCGTTATCGCTGTTCCTTTTTGGGTCGCTGGTGTTGGCGGTGGTCCCTGTAATGGTCGCTGTAGTGGTACCCGTAGCAGTGTCGGTAGACGCAGCAGCAGCGGCAGCGGCAGCGGTAGTGCACCTGTCCTCCAGCTCCATTTCCATCTCTTCGTCTTCGTGCGCCCTGCCCCGTCCTCTCCCCCTGTTCACCTGCAGCGGATCTAGCGACAGCGGCGTCGACCCGGCACGGCGCTGGCGCGGGCTCCTAGACGAAATTGCGAATGGCGGCACCTCGTCATCTTCGTACTTTTCGCACTCTTCGTTCCGGTCTCCAACATTCCTTGATTCTGCCTCTGTGCTGTGACCGTCACCGTCCTCCTTTTGACTTTTTCTCGAGTGCGACCCTGACCGCCGCGGCCGAGACTCTATTTCCGTCGTGTCGCGTGCGCCCGAGACATTCTTCT